TTCCCCTTTTTTTTTTTTTATAACCCGCCCTTTTTTAGCCCCCTTCCCCCCCCCCCCCCCCTTTTTTTTTGGGTTTTCACCCCCCCCCCCCCCCCCCCCCCCCCTACAGCCACCCCCCGTCTCCACCTTCACATTATTCAACCACTATCCCCGCTCTAGATCACCTGGAACACTGCATATTCTCGGCGGGCGTCTTGGCACTTGGCACGCACACACAACACCCATCCGGTTGAGTACAGTAGGCTTCTTTTTCCTGCCTCGGGCGACCTTCACCCTGCCCCCCAAGCTATTTGCCTACTGCTTCCTTTGCTCATCATCCCGCCTAGTTGTCACCGCGGTGAGCATTACGTCGTAAGTGGATCCAGTCAGATTTTCCAGCTTTGCAAGCAAAAGCTATTTAAAAACTTGCACCACCTTCTTGGCCTGACTCTCGTTTGCTACGCACTGTAGAAACCAAAGCACAGCCCGCGAAATACGTTTTCGCCCAGGGCGGCGGTCTGCGCCATTCCCGCCGGTTGGAACGCCCTTATTACCGCTCCCAAGAGATGCATGACGACAACCGCACGTCGGGCGGGGACGAGTATCAGGCATTGGAAATGGGGGACAGGATAAAATGACGAGTTCTCCGGAAGGGTTGAAATGGAATTCCTTCCCCCCCTCATAACCCCCAAAACTTGCACCCGCACATTAATTACTGTCTGAAAGGCAAGCGAGAATGCGGCTTTCTTGAGGTCATTTATGGGGTTTCAGGGGCATTGGCTTGCCATGATAGACTTGCACCAGGAAGACTCGCGACACATGGCATCATCAAGCACTGTACTCCCGGGCAAGCTTCAAATTCCATTAATCTATCCAACTGTAAAGTGCACTCCGTTGACGGGGATATGTTTCTGGATTAAGGCTTTGTGTGCGCAGGCTTTTGCTCGATCAGCCAACTTCTTGGCACACTTGCAGTATTCCCGCAAGATATGAGGAGAGACACGCTCTCTCGCGCACAGAAAGCAAACCGTCGCGCCGAAAAACACCGAAAAACACACCGATGTAATCTACCAGATCCGAGACTCATCCGCACTCGGCCACATAATTCACGCAATCAATGTGTCTCAGAGAAAGGTATTGTAGAGGCAACCTAAGACTTGGCCCACATACCGCAACCACCAGGGGCCAGAAAGGTTGTGTATCGCGCATGGCGTCCGGGACGCGGGGGTTTATTTTCACTTGTGATGTTCGTTTGTGACTCTTGGAAGTACGCGAGGTGAAGTTGGCAAGTCTGCAGCATGCCCTGCCAGCATGCGAGAAAGATTTACCGACGAAGACCGTCGCCTGCCACTTTAAGATCCACAATGCCTTTCAGTGTGGTCTCGCAAGGTGTACGGTGAGGATGGGTACATTTTGGAAAGCTAGACAGGGGGGCGGTATGGAACGGGGCTTTGAAAACACGGATCGTTCCACGAAAAGGTGGGCAGTATCATACGCCTGCACCCGTAGGTTTAGGAGGTGGGTTTGACGGTTGCGGGGAACAGAATCTTTGATGATAGAAATCTTTTGTCGGAGGGGCTCCACAGCCGTCATGCCCTGGTCCCTGTCTCTCTCCCTCACAACGCTGCGCCAGTGTGATTGCCCAGTGGCCCAATCATACGACACGTGGGTTCGTCTTGAATTTGCGATAAAAAAAGGACAAAACGTCACGATTCAATTTTCATCGTGCTCCCGTTATCATACAAGGCAACGTCACTTCATACTCCTCCCTCATTCTCCACCCTCATACTCCACCCTCATACTCCACCCTCATACTCCACCCTCATACTCCACCCTCATACTCCACCCTCATACTCCACCCGCATACTCATACTCCACTCTCATAATCCACCCTCATTCTCGTCCATTCTCGTCCATTCTCTTCCTCTCGACCCGTCCTGCTTGCGCCTGACCACCAATCTCTTCTTTACGGAACTTGCATCGATTCTTCGCGTCGGTGAACACACGCCTTCCTCGTAGCACACACTACAGTACCGACGCGCCGCCTGTCTCCTTGCTCACACTGTACTCTAGAAGAAAACGCTAATAACCCGCTTGCGTCGTGTCGGCACGTAAACCGGCGCTCCTGCGAAAAACTCGCGCGCCCGTAGTCCTGGAGGGACGCTACTGGGCGGCAACTGCGCCGCAACTGTCTCAAAGCAAACAGATTCCCTCTCCGACCGAGATCGCTCCACCGCGGCCCCACAGTACACGCGACCGCAAGTCGCGCAACAGAACGTATCCCGCCACGAACTGCCCCGCCTCCCGCGAGCGATGCTACCGGCTACCGCGGCGAGAATCTCCATAGGCTGTCCCCGTCAGCGGCCGTCGCGATGCGCCATCCCGAATTAGGGATGAGCAAAGCGTGACAGCAAACCGCGATTCCGACGCGGCTGTATTCCTTCCCCGCCAAACGGAGATGCGCGGCATAACTCCCGCCCGCGCTCTCGCGCACATCCCTCGCTTCCGCGGGCACATTTCCCGCCAATGCCTAGCGCCCGCCCTTCCACCACTGTACCCACCAGCGCGCAGCCGAAGCCGCGCGCCGCGCGCACCGGTGCCACTGCGCCCTCCTGCCGCCGCGCCCTCCTGCCGCCCTGTATCACGCCCTCAAACAGAGGGCAGCGGCGGCGTAGCCACGCTAGCGGTTTAACGGAATCGCCGTATATTAACCACCCTCTACCGCTACAGCCAGCACGCGCTTCACGCGTCCGCAGAGCCTCCCCAGCCGCGGACACCGCGCCACTCGGCGCTACGTATTTATGTTTGTTTCCCTGCATGCGTAGCCCCTGCCACGCACGCCCCTGC